GATACTTTAGCCTAATATCCTGTGGCATTGCAGTGACCTAGATGTAATTATTGCATGCTTTTTCCAAAATATTTGTACACAACCAGAAATTATAACCTAAGTTACCAACCAGTTCTTAGTTTATACCAGCAACACAAAGATGGACTTCAATTAGCGGTAACCTAGCTGTCTGATGTTTTTAGCAATCTTTTGGACAAATGTTTGGTCTTGGTTTGGTGTAATTTTCTGGTTTCCATTTTCCTTAGACAAACATATTTATCCTGTTAAGCAAATGATGCTTTAAAAACTTTCAGCTGTCCCTTCTCCCAGCCCGCAATCACTGTCCCCACCAGATGTGGGGTGATCTCGTGTTTGTAGGTGCGCATGCATCTTACGAACAAAGATGTGGGGGGGAAAGGGGAAAAAAAAAAAAATCAAATGGTCTTGCAATGCCCCGTGGTGTCACCCAGAAAATGTCCTTCCTGCTCCCACCTTTACCTGCCCTTCCCAGCACGGAAAGCGGGAGCACTTACATGCTCACAGGGGTCTGCTGAAGTTTCTCCCGGCTCGCAGTTGGGCTCCGTGGCGAGAGGCAGACGGGTGGCACTTTGAGGACAGGGAGGCACAAGATGAAGAAGGGAACGCTTGGGCACGCACTGATTGTCAGCCTCCTCCTGCCCAAGCGCATGGACAATGCTGCTCTTGACTCAAGAACTTAGAGAGCTCCTTGGCAGCTATTGCTTGAAGGGTCATGCTTTCTCCAAACACAAGACCTCTGGGGTGTCTCGCTCACCACACCAGTAGTAGCTACTGACTCAACAGCACAGCTAGTCGGTACTTTTCACCCAGGTACTGGACAACCACCTGGTTGACCACATTACTCAAACTTCAGTGGTGCCAATTTTTACAGAACCATGGGCTGTTCACTATCAACAGGCTGACATCTAACATTTCTCACTGTAAAACTTAGTTCAAAGTGGGCTGTTTCCACCTGCAGAACTGCTGAACTCCCAAGGAGCATATACCTGTTTAATTACAAGTCATTTCTTAACCTCTACCGCCAGATGTGTTTGGTCACACAACTGTATAAGCCCAGACCCCACCACTGCAGAGGTTGCCCAGTGCAGGACAGCCTTTGAAACGTAACCTAAAGGTTCACAGTTATTTCTCTTCTAAGTCTTTTAGTACTAAATTATGTGTCAGTTACTCAACCTGCCTATGTGCTTAAAAAAAAAGCATCTACAAAATCTTTTAATTTAGACTTTTTTCTAAACCAGAGAAGATTATCCAGAGTCAAATAAAAAAACCCCAAATCTTCAATGACTTCAGTAAGCTGGTTTTCCTCCCAGATTGATATATCGATGCTCCCATTAAATGACTATCCCATTTGCCTACACATGTTTTTAGTTTTGTGCTAGTACAGAAGACCCGTTATTTCTCACTGTTCTCTGTCTTCTGGGGAGCAGCTGCAGTATGCTCCTGCAGCCATCAGCTTTAAAAGCAGTATTCAGTGCCTGATTGACAGCAGAGCTAGAGGTGGCATACTGCTTCCTGCTGTGGAGAAATCAGTACCATTACCCAGCAGATCTCAGAAAATACATCAGAAAAAGAAATTAATCCTGATATGTGCACTTTTTTGAGTAAGATAAAGAAAATGCTTCATCATCATGAGAAAACAAAAAAATCTACTGCAAAAAAAGTAAAAAAGGTTTACTACAGCTATTTTTCGTTGCTTTATGGCTTTTACCTTTCTTTGCTGAGCCAAGAAAGAGCATGAAACAAATGCAGAGCAGTGCATAAGCAATGTTGCAAACTGCTTATTAAAAAAAGCGGTGGCAACTGCATGAAAAAAATAAGGAAAAGGATCAGAAGCATCTTAATAAGAAATGTATGTCTTAAGCTGCAGCTACATGAATTAAATTTTGCATATGAGAAAGGACAACATCCATTTTTTCAGCTGCAAATATAATTCAAGCTTTATGACCTGAAAGCTCCTTTACTCGCTCTTTCATTCACACACGCATCCTTTTCCTATAGGGAACAATATAACGGGAAGAAGTTTTAATTTAGCAAAACTTGAACGAGCTGGCATTTCTTTATGCCCAAGGTTTGGCAACATGTCATGAGACCCTTCTGTGTTTAACATGACCGGTTCTTTAAATTCCTCTTGTGTAACCACTACTAGGTTTTGTCATTGCAGAGCTGTATTTTAATATTATTTAAAAATAAGACTGAGTTGTTCCATGAGAAACAACACTAATGACATTTCGTTTCTTATGAAGTCGGATCAGACATCCCAGCTTCACACAGTCAGCAAACGAAATACGCGCTCCTTTCCGAAATCCCCTAAGACTACATTAACCCGGGTCCCTCTCAGTCCCCAGGATACCAGCCGACCAAAGGCAACGTTTCCTCCACGCCACGCGTGTGCTGTGATGCCCTGCGTGATCAGAGCTGTGGCGCTGCCGGCTGGAACTGCTGTTTGCCTATTTACCCGCAAGTGCTCGAGAGGCACGAAGGGAATTACTTTTCACTAACACCTCATATATCCCGTGTAATCAGAATGGCTCATTCCAATCTCCAGTGTTAATCCTTGTTTACAATCTGCAAGCAGAGAACCTGAACCTTAAGCATCATTATGTTTAACCGTGGCTTGCATTTTATGTTGTATTTATATTTTTCTTAAAACGCAGCTCATTTTCACTAACTGCCAGCCATTAAAATGTGGTGTTGCAGTCCTTTAAGCTCATCACTTAATTTTGTTATCCAGTAGTTTATATTGTATCTACGGACATTCATCTAAGCAAGAGCATGTCCTAAAATAATTTACTCAACTTCCCAAACTTTACATTTTTTTAATGGGATGAAGTCAGAAAGATGAATAGCATTTCTTAAGTTACTCATTTTTTACTCATGATGTTTAGCAGACTCTACTGAAGGGAACTAGAACTGGATTAAACACAACTAACATCTTATGAGGAGGCTGAACAGACAGATTATTTTGTTATCCAACAACACTTCATGTTTAGAGTTGAGGTATTAAAAATAAAGTATTCTTCCTTCATGAAGAAACTGAACCTACTCTTTTTTTTCTTTTGTCCATCAATACTGTAGAACTAGAGGGGTTTTTTTTTCAGTTCTGTTCCTCTACTCCTTCATTAAAAAGAGGAAAATAACTCAATAGAGAGGAAAACAACTCCTTCCTATCCTTCCCTCACCCCCGAGCCAGTGTTTCTCATCCACCTCCAATCAGTCAATAAACTGAAATGAATGGTATATCTGCATCTACAGAAGCAGCCACTATTGTCCAACATGCTTTACCTCCTCATCTTGTACCCTAAAAGGTTTTACCACTATAAGGGATTGTCTTTGATTAAAAACTTCAGCAGCAAGCATATCTATGCAATATAAATATTTATTTCATTTTAGGCTTTCAAAAGGCTTGCCAAAACTTTATAATTTTTTAACAAAATTATTCTGCCTAATTTTAAAGTAAAATTTAGGGAAAAAATCTACTTTTATTCTGTCTTCATAGCCATCTTCTTACGTACATTAAAAGATTGTTTACTTTTATATTTACATGCTGTTCAACCACTAGTTTCTAAACTCCATCGAAAACTGACACACAGATCATTTAGGATTCTTAAGGCTTTACAGAGCCATCTTTAGGGTGGCTTGGTCAATTTTAGCACAACATAAAGCTAAAAGCCAAAGAATCCCCGAACCCGGGGAGTATTTGGTAAGGTGAGCGCAGGTCCTTCAGCCACTTCAGCGTGTGTCCAAGAGGCAGCTATGCCGCTGGGACACGCCGGGAGGCAGAACTGCCCCTTCCCTGTGCCGTCTCTCCCCAGAGTCAGATGAGCACTGCCCTGCCAAAACAGCCTCTCCGCTTAGCCGGTACCCCGGCCTCTGATGAGGTCCTGCTAAATCCCCGACGGCATGACTCAATTTTTCCCTGGGGCATTATTTGGTTAGCTGTCTGGCTGGTACGTACAAGAAATACAGCGAAACCAATGAAGATGCACTGTGTCTTTCAAGAAAGCGGACTGCTGTTTATGGCGATGCAAAGCAATACAGACGATGCGAGGCGTACATTAGGGTCTACTAGCTTGTAGCTGAACTGTCCACCCAAACCCTTTTATCAGTCAGAGCAGATGTAGGAGCTACTTACAAACTAACTGAGCGGTGATACAGAACATCATCGTATTTTTGGGTACTGAAGCACAGAACTGTTCTAAGCCAACAGTCAGTAAGAGCAACCTATCTTTTCATCCCCATGCAAGTCAGCACAGTTTACAAAACAAAGGTTTTTGAGCCCAACCTTATTCTTTAACCACGCTCAAGGACTGATAGAAAACAGGATGGTCATTTCTCAGAAAGTCGAATGCAATAGAAAAGAAAAACTGTTTGTAGTGTCACTGAGGTTATCACTCTGGACTATGTGAGAGCTCAGTCTGTGCTGTCTTCACTGCCAACAACCCAGAGAGACACCCAGCTTTCCGTGGGACAGTGCTCCCCTTAAGCCCCATTACAAGGAGCTGTGCCTAGTTACATGCTCTAAAAACATTGCTTTGCTTTTTGAGCAGCTTCATGAAGATCAGCAAAATAAAGCAGCACCATGTCCTTAAAGAAAACAGCTGTTCAGTGTCCTTGTGGCACCTGGAATATGCAGTATAACACACACGGATCCTTGTCCAACTCTAAGCTAATTAACTTGACTTCTGAATTAAGTCATTACCTTGGATAACAAAATCCAGAAGATGGTAGGCATTACTGCTTCATTCACAACAGGCACGTATCTGAAAGAGACTTGCTTTATTTTTACACTTCATTCTTACAAACCTTTTAAAAAGGTCTGAAGCCTGTCTGAAGACACTCTCTCGGCCAGCGATGCCCTACTCACAGACAAAGCCTACAAGTGTTTCTACGTATCTTGAAACTCTCTTTCTGCCTTCAAAACGAAATAGTCCACTGCTGGTTTGAACGCGAATGGATGACCCAAAGCTTTGTCCCATACTCACATGCTTACTAGCAGGTTGACTCTGAGGTAAAGATCCAGGGGCCAGCACTGGAGAGCTTGCGGGGCTACAAAGTTCTGGGAAGGGATTTGGGATGGCCGGCAAAGATGACGTTCTGAATTGCTGTTCTTCTTCTTGAAGACGCCTACAAACACAGAAGCACTAAGCATTAAGAGGAGCAAACTGGCATCACTAGACCTGGATCTCCTGCCCCACCATTTGTGATAATGATACTAAAGAAAAGGAATCAAAACCACTCTTTTTCTAAGCAGCTACCATACAGTTACGGCAACTGCAAGCACAAAGTAGGTAACTGCATGTGAAAAATGACCAGCCAGGCAGCTATTCCTGTTTTGTTGCTCGTAACTTGATTACTTGGGTGAGTAACTGTGCACACAAAATACATAGAAATATCTGTCTGTACTCGCTGTTGTAAGCACTAGCTTACAAGCTTGAGCTCTGTGCGCCAGAAAGTCAGTTAAGCTCTTCCAAACCAATGTGAAAGAGGACAACACAATGGCAGTCACTTGGAGCCAAATTCCACACGGATCTGCAAACGAAGGCGTACCCCTGTAAAGCCTCTGAGGCTGACTTTACCCCGGTAAAGCTGAGACCGAAACCAACATTGTCACCTCATTACAATACCAGATTCCATCTCCAAGCAACTCGGCATCTCCTGGAGAAATGGAAATGCAAAGACTCGGCTTGAGCAATAAACTGCAATTACACCCTCCCACCTTGTGCTAGCTGAAGGGTGACTGTTCAGAGGGATCCGCGTCTCCTGCGATACGCCTCACGAGCCTACGTAGGACCAACAGAGCTTCCAGTTCCAGTTCCTAACGCACCTGTACCGCCCACATCAGCAAAAGGAAAACTAAAGCCTACCAGCCGCCACCGAAAAAGCTCGAAAAGATGTGGGACCTGTTGACGGCCACGCAGGCTGCTTTCGGCTTCCCTACTGCTAGGGGACCTCCAGCGAGGACAGGACCCACCGGGTGACCCTGAAGCAGGCTGGCCTGCCACGCCTTTGCAGAAGGCACCATCTAGTGGCAATCCTGGAAGCTTCCAGAGACACTCAACCCGCTCCTGGATTTGAAATGCAAATCGTTAAAAACTCAGTTTGCTCTCGCTTTTTCCCCACGCCTTCAGCAAGCAGAGCCTTCTTATGAGAGCCGGTGGGGAGACAACCGCTGGGTTTGCCTCTGGCAGCGTGTCCCACTCGGGGCACGCTCGCCGGCTCTGCCTGTGCCAGGACCCGGGGGCTGGTAAAATAACCTACTGGGAAATCTGCTCCGCAGGTAACTCTACCCTGCAATTTACTTGCCTTGGTGTTCCACGAACGAGCCTTACAGATTTGGGTTTTTGCTATAAACAGCGTTCCGACCATAACTATGAGCCATGCAAACAACGACTTGACCTGCTTGATTTTTTTTGTGCTGCCGTGTACTTCCCTTTTGTACTTCCCTACAGCGTAGGGTAAAGGACGGTGCAAGATCTCTTCAGCCCAGCAGACTCGTCGTACCAGCAGCTGTGTAATAGTGCTCTGTATTGCAAGTTTTTGACTGACCTCCATTACAAGAAGCGGAACTACAGACTCAACACAATTAGAAAGGTGTGGTTTTCTTAAAATGAGAATTCACTATGCTGTGCTCTGCTCTGCCTATACTGCTGCAGTGCATCATTTACTTCATGGCCGATACATGCGTAAAACTGTGCTCTTAAGAGAATTACCAGAGTCAACCATTCTGTTCTGGCTGCAAAAAAGACACAGCCATCCCCCTCTATGGGAAAGGGCTCTAGATAACCCTAAATGAAAGTTTCGCCATTATTTTCTTTAACAATAAACAGACAATGTTCTTGTGCATATGGAAGTACAGAGTTCAGAAAGGCAGAGTGTTCTCAAAAAAGAGTTGCTAAGTTTTGGAGTGCCAAAAATAGTTTAAATGAAGTGTTTTGACTGAGATATTTACAAAACATCGACAGTTATCGTACTCTAGAGTGCATTTTCTTGTACGGCCCTATTCAAAGTTAAACATGAAATACTTGTAAAAATGATTCCATCATTAGCTGACTTGCTTGTACTGCAGTTACTGCATACTACCCATTCATATAGGAAAGTTGCCTGTCTTAAGAATACCATTCCTATAGGAAATACATCAGCGTAAAGAATCAGGAGCAACCCTTTCCACATCTGGGCTTTTTCTTTTATTATTATTACTTCTCATTTCTTTTGGAGAAGACACTGTTAACTAGAAGGAAAGGAAAACTCCAAATCTTTCCAATTCAGGCAATTTACCAGGCTGACAGGAGCTCCTTTCCTCCTGCTGCCCAAAACGAAGATTTTAAGAACCTCAGCATCACCTACACACTCTCCCGTCACCACCAAGAGCATTCCACTTTAAGCTTGAATTCAAGCCCCCATCCTGACAACGGTGAGATAACGTAAACACTTGTTTTGGTAATGACTCACATAATGCACTCGAGTGAAAGAGCTGAAAGTGCTCGAGGAAGAACAGTTAAATAACCAGGATGTGCTCCTTTTTTGTTTGTTTGTCTTGGACTGTTCAGGAAACCTCCACAGAGAGGTATTTTTTGTATATCAAAGCTAGCTGAATGCACCCTCATCTACCTACGTGATCTCTTATGTTTTATAAAACCAAGAAGCTGTCAGTAGGCACCATACCTGAGAGAACAGTTTCTAACAGTTTGGAAATAAATCCAAATATGGACATCATTTCTACAAATTGGTACCAATGATACGCTTCTACACGTCTGCTACTACAGGTACATCAAACATTGATAAAAAAAAAAGGTGAAAATGTGACATTTTTGCATTTTACAAAACACATGGAAAATACATGTCCTTCACCTACCTGGTACATCTCTCTTATCTACGCAGAAGTCCAGTCTAACACTACTAGGCTCCTACCGAAGTCGATCTCCTATTTTAAAACGTAGCTGTTTTGAAGCTAGTTCAAGACAATTTAACAAGAGGCAGGCAAGTCCCTTGTTCCTACCTGACTGCCATAATGCGCACTGGCTGAGACCGCTGCACCTTCTGCCTTGGAGACGTGGGCTGCAGTCCACCAGATCCTGAGGACGGCAACTGACTGCGGTTGAGCTGACCATTTTGAAGGAGCGGAGTGGTTTCCGACTGCATACTGCACGTAGAGTATAAGCTTTCAAATGAGGAATTCATATCGTTTACCAAAGCTTCTAGGTCCACATCGTCATCTGAAAGACAGAATAAAGGCAGCGTAACACATCTGGAAGTCCCAGATAAAGGAAGTCTGGAAAGACCAAAGACTAAGTTGCAGTAAAGTTATCACATAATTTTGTAGTTATATTTTTACAGTGAATATTTGTGTAGCAGAAATTTATTGATTTTAGAGCAGAAAAATGCAGCTAATAATAGCCAGCAGTGGACATCTATTTTGTCTTCTTGGCAAAAAGCTGCTGACACAGAATTAAATTCTTCTACTACAGTATTCACTATATATACATATATATATACACACACACACACATATATATACACAACCAAAATTTGGTGGGATTTTAATGCTGTCAATGCTAATGTGAAGCACCGCTTCATTTACCGATAAACTGGCATACATTTCAAAAGTATAGCACTTACAAATACCTCTGTCCAGCTTGTCAATGTATCAAGTTCAGACTGTCAAACACAGTAATAAACATTTTGCAAGATGCAGTAATTTAGAAGGAAAAAGACAGTGTTGCAGTGAAGTCAATAGGTGAAAGACACAGTCCTCTGCTGTACATGTCGAAAAGCGATCATTATAGCTTGTTAAAAATCCTGTCTGTATTTCTGCGTATTTTTGAGATACGGTATTTTGAAGGGCAATGCAAGCTTTTAACTGTCACTCCAAGGACTTTGTAAAAAGACCTGTATCCTTGCTCTTGCAACGTGATAGAGACACCCCTGCCTTAAAGAGCCCAAAGTATATCAACCAGGGATGTGGTGGGGGTGGTTGGAGGAACATCAGTCCCTAAAAAGTGCCCCAACCTTTCTACAAATGCCACCTTACCTCACAGTAAGTAACTTGTGCTCATTCGTTCCTCCTTAATGATCGTAATTACTCTGCAAGACAACAAAACTCTGGGAGCCCTTTGCACTAACCACTCTCTGAACTCCTATTGCAGAGTGCTGCAATTACTCCCTAGCCACAAGTTACGTCACTCCCTATCAGGAGTTCAGCGGGCTGACGAACACACACATCGATATCTGCTTCTGGTTACTGCACAGCTACTGCCTGAACAGCTACTTCAGACCGAACACAACTTTGTGCATCCAAAAATGTGCCCTTGTTTTCCAGCTGTATCAATTGGCCTGGTAAAATATACCATTGCTGCCTGCAAACCTTGCGTCTTGCAAAACTCTTCATGACACGGATGGAAAGCAGAGCCAAGCAATAGAGCTAGTAAACATTTACACAGTGCTATGCAGCTGAAATATGCTTTTCACCCCAAATATTTTCCGATAGCCATTCTTTTCCCATGTTTTCTAGGTAAATGAACCACCAGGAGCAGCCATTCAGCTTGTAACCAATTACCATACTTTCTTTGAGAGACCATAAACAATATTCTACCAATATTACTTTTCTTGAGGATATAATCCAAAACAGCACCACTCAATTTCTGTCCACCAACAACATGCCTCAATAACCATAACGGATCAGAACACAGCATTTACATGGCAATTGTTTTGGATGCTGATGACCCCATTTCTCAGTGTTTGATGAACCAAAGACCTACTCAGAATTAAATAGGTGCTGGTCATGTACCTATGTCCGGCCTCTATTTAATGACTTGAAATACTATGTTCCTCACTGAAAGTTGGTAGGCCCTTTACTAAAGTAAAAGCCACTTAGCCTTCACTGAAAAAGTACTCATAGAATTTCTAGGTTTGAACATGTGTTAAAAAAACAAACCACCCCCCCCCCCCCCCAAAAAAAAAAAATCTACCCACAAACAGGTTTCTTCCTTTCATTTCTTTATGGTTATTTCCCTCAGTCTCTGTACTTAACAGCCACTACCCTACTACTAAGACTCACCTTCACTAAGCTACACCATCTTCTCTGTCAGCTAGTTCATGCATTTTCAACAATCTAGACTTTGCTTTGCTTGGACAAAGTCTACAATAATTTTCCTGCTATTTTTAGGGATCTTGAGACAGAGTTGCAATTTAAATTTCATTCCATCCTCCAGATTCTTATCCTGTTTGGAGAGGACATATCAAAAATGCTTCTTGAGCAATCACAAGGGAACCACAGCAGTAGGAGTATAAAGAGGGAGAGGCTGAATTACAAGGCTTTTGAATTTTATCATTCATCTAAAGTACCGGAAGACCAAGCTGTAGGGTGTCAGGTGGCTGTCAAGTAAAAGCTTAGGGGATGGATGAAGGAGACATAAAAGACAAACGCTGGCCACAGAGTCAGGGAGTAAATTACAGCAACTAACAGCAATTGTTTAGCAGGGTGAAAAGCAGAAAGGGAAGAAAGTCAAGGCATACATTCTGTGGAAGTCTGTACGGCTTGGTCCCCGAGGGTGCTAATTTATTAAGAACTTAGACAAAGCTATTAGTGTGCAAGATCATTAAGTTTTCAGATGAATGTAACATGGGAGGAATGATTAAAAGTCAGCTCAAGCTATCCCTGAATAATCAAATAGGCACAAAGGTGTAATATGAAGTCTAATATGCATAAAATGAGGCACTTCATGCAAAATACTAAGCAAACCAAGTACATAGTTTAAAGCATTGAATTACCATTAGCAGGCTTTTAAGCATATCAATTACACACCTAAATTCAATTTCCAACAGGACAGGCACTCACAAGGTGCATATAGAGTTTTCCTAATCATATGTTGCACTAAAGTCCAGAATCTGGTTTCACTCCTCTGTCAGCTCCTTTTCTCTGCGGGTGCAGCACTGCTAATAATAGCCCTCAGTCTTGCTATAAAACTTTTGCAGGAGCGCAGATCCTTAAGCTTTTTGAAGACAAAGCCTGCAATCTTGAATTTCATACAATTTCATCTCTATACAATAGCATTTACTACTAAATACCATTATGTTTTGGAGATATTTCAGCATGCTGCAATAGGAAACCTCACTGCTGCAGCCTACCTCAGAAGTGCCAGCAGATGTCTCAGCCTGCCAAGTAATCCAGTATGTTACTTGTGATGGCTCTCTAGAGAGCTTAACTAAATAAAAATTAAATAAGCCATCCATGGGATTTCTAAGCCACTTTAACCATTTGCAGGTATACTATTCAGAAGGATATTTCACATACCGTGCAATCCTTCAAAGTATCTTTCTCTACCAACCCGCAAGATCCAGCCTCTATCAAGATGATCATACATGGAGGAAAAAAAGCTGACAAAACTGATTTTGAGAAGGCTTGCTAGTTAACAGCAAAATTGACAAATCATTGGGCTTTGAGCCAGCATGGCATCACACTGGCCCTCTAAGTATGCGCACACAAATTTTGCGACTGACCTGGAAGAAATCACCTTTGTAGGTTATAGCAGGCTGAGTTGCAAGTAGCTGAGGAGCCTCCAGCTCTCCAGCTATCTTGCAGACATATGCTTCCAGGGATACAAAAGACTATTTTCCTTAATCTGCATTGAATTCTGCCGTAAGATCAAGGAGCATGAAAGTGTATATTTGAGGTCTGTTTTTTTTTCTCTCTCTATTGAACAGCATAGGGGCTAGCTTATCACTTCTTCCATGCACAAACATGCAAGCAGCCTTTTGCTTTTGAAAGTCATTTTTAAAGGAAAACACTGGCAAAACCTAGCTCTGACATACTTCTGGTGGTGGATAGGGTACTGGCAGTTTTGTAGACTTATACCAGAAGAAAATACTTGGTACGCCTGCGAGCAATGTTCTTTCCCAAACTAGAACCAAAGTGCACACACTGGCAGCCGTCTGAACTTCATTTGCTTCTTTGCCCACAACTTGTTAAACTTTGGCTTTGTTCACAAACCAGCTCCACTGGATGTTGCAAGTAATATTTTTGGTAAAGTAAGTCATGATTTCAATTACAAGAAAAAATTTAAAAGTTCAATTCGAGGAAAGAAGAAAACTTATGTTATAAAACCTCTATTGAGCCAGTGAGCTAAGCTATCACATTCCACAAAAACAAAAGCACTTTGAATACGATTTGAATGTTTTCAAGCATACCATAAGGAGGGATCATAACCCCTAAATTAGGCCTGAGCAAACTTTAATCTGTGTTTAACCATGTCCCACTTGTCTTTCTGCTTCTAGCCCTTCTCCATCCCCCAGATCCTAATTTATTTACTTATTTTGTTTGTTGTTGGCCTTTATGTGTCAAGCCCAGCTAACGGGACTAAGCAGAATCACGCATATTCTGAAGTGACGTAAAGCTGAAGTGAGCCCTGCTCAGCTTCATCCGTGCCAGCCTCCCAAAGAAAGCAGGTGTTTCCATGGCTGTCAAGGGGCTCACTGCACTGCAGAAATTCTGTATACTGAAAAAAAAGCTGAACACGGAAAGAATCACGGCTTTGGGCTACAGACCAGGACACATTTCATGTCTCCAAATAGCAGCCCAGCAAACACCCTTCCCTTTTACATATGGTCTGCAGTTCATAGGGAATACTATGAAAAACATCACAGCATCTAAGCGAGCTGTGATTTAAGAGGGTTTTAAAACTGTATACATACATAAATAATTTCCTTCTTGTTTGCTCATTTCAGAATTTAATTTTCCAGCATTATCCCTCGTATCAGTTCACAGAGAAGACTGATGCGAGTGCTACTCGGATGCTACTAGGAATTCAGCAGAAGATTTAGAAAAAGGCTATACCACTTCTCTGTCGCCATGGAAGTAAGCCTGATACTATATGAATTCTAACAGCATGTATATAAACTAGCGTTTGATATTAGAGTAAGGCAGCTGTTGATTGATCACCTATCCCTGTTTGATAGCCTAACTCCAGCAATCGGTTCCCCAAAATGAGTTTCACTGCAGCACGTTCAAGATCCAGCTTGACAAAGCTAAGAAGCTAAGATATAACTAATGTAAGATTTCACTCAAGTTTAGCTCAGCAGAGGGTGATATCGAAGTGGTCAGCAGGCTCTCCTGCACATGTTAATTAACCCTCAAGGAGACAGATGGGAACAGCGAATGAAAAGGAACGTACAGCTGCATATACCCTAACATGCTGCATTGATGACACAGTGAA